ACTTGGCAATAAATCAGCAGGGCTTGCTTGTTGTTCTGTTGTCTCAAAGGTTAGATTAATATTAATTGGTGAATTGAACATACAAATGTCTATGGTTATTGCAACTAGAAAGAGAAAGAAGGAAGAAGAAGGAGGCAGAGGAGGAGGAGGGCAGAATGGAGTGAGAAAGAAAGAAAAGTCCAACTGAAGGTTGTTCTGTGTCACATTTTCCATAGATGCTGAAAAGCAGAGCTTTGTAGAAAGGTCTGCATATATCAGACAAGCTTTCAAGGATAAAAATGATTCAGATCCCAATAGGGAGCTGATGATAACCATGATCAAGAGAGCAGACCATCAAGAACTAATGAGGCTGTCAGGTCCATGGGCGAGCCTAGGAGCACTCACATCAAAAATCATTCAGCAGGAGGCATACCTAACAAATCAGTGATTTCTTCCTATCCTAGCCACAAATAAGGACTACATTTAACTAGCTTTTTTCTTTCAAAGTTGTTTTCTGCAACTAGAAAGAAAGACTTAAAGCAGAATGGCAAATAAGGAATGTCCACTGCAAAACAATTAATTTCAACAGTAATTCTGGCTGAAAAGGGAATTTCTAAAATTAGGGCTTATAGGTTTGTGCAGATGTGTAACGGGACATACAAAGACAGTCATAGATATGAGAACAATTGGGGCCTTTTCCATAAAAAAGGGAACTCTACCTGGGCCACTGGGCTTTCCAAAATTTCAAGCACCAAGCATCTGATACACACTGTCGGTGTTCAATCAATATTAGATAATTATTGTTACATTACTAATTATAAGTCACTCATGGGACTCCAACACTATAAGGGTTGCTTGTGAGAATGCTTCGTTTCCCCTATTCAATGACAGATGTCATAAAAGATATAAACTCTTCCCAATCCCTGAGTGTTAAATAGATCAAGATGGCTAGTTCCAAACTTTCATCCAAAAACTCTCATGACAGGATTGTGAGGGGGTCAGAAATGAGCCGGTAAAGCAGGTCTCTAGATATCTCCATATTACAAGGCAAGAGCTGGGGGTATCAGAGTTCTGGATGATCCCCAGCAGAAGGTGAACAGTTGGGTTTATTTTATGACTTTCTGTTTCTCCCAACTGCAAACAGCTTCAAATCCAATTGGCAATGGAATGCCCCAGGCAATCTGCATCTCCAGAGAACAATTCATGGTTGAGTTTCTGCTGAATATTTTTAAAAGAACTACAATACCTAATGCATCTATCAACGAACAGCTCCTTGAAAGAACTTTCATCACTTCAGAGTTTTATTAAAGAAGTAAGCTGCATAAGGCTTTTCATTTCTTGCCAAGCCTGCTTTTGTCTGATCTGAGGAAGGAGCCTGGTGCACTGAGTTTCCCTTGGCTCTGAAAAACACAGATTAACTCAAGGAGACACAGTGATGTAGGTTGAAAGCAGCAAAGTTTCTGATGTAATCTGAATTCAGGCACCTAGAACACTCAGTGACACACCAAACATTTCCACAACTACCTCCCTGACATATGCGGACAGTCCAGGATCTATGAATATGAGTTTCTGAAAACAAACTTGGAAATCCCAAAGTTCATTGTATAAATTATAGAGTGACAGTATCACAAGATTACTATAAGTGACATCATCAATTAAGGGTTTTGTGGAAATCTGGCACTAGTGACATGACTTGTGTACCCAGGGCTAGTAAGTTGAGGTAAAACTCTCAGTTGACATCCAGTGTCCACAGAAAAGTTTAATTTGTGTTTTAATCTTCTTTCTCTCATCATTCTATTACCTAGTGTTCCATTAAATCCTTTAATAAAGTATGTATATTTATTGGCTAGTTGGATATTTCCTTTTATAACATGCTAAAGGCTTCTGTCCCTTTTTGTATTGAGCTTACTTATTTTTCTTACTGCTTTCTAGGAGAATTTTATATATTACAGTTAAGAATCTTTTATCAGTTATATATATTACAAATATCACATCCTGCTCCATAGTTCTTTATTTTTTACTGGCTTAGTGGTGCTCTTTGCTGAACAGAAATTTTAAATTTTAATGTAGTCTAACTTATCATGTATATATAGATTTTTATGTCCTTTTAAGGAAATTTTTACCAATAAAAAGGTCATGAAGATATTATTTTATGTCTCCTTTTACAGATTTATTGTTTTACTTTCCACAGGTGACCTACAATCTACCTGGAATGGACTTTCATGTTTGGGTGAAGTCTTTTCTTGGGAATGTTTTCATGACCCAGCACCAATTTTTCCTGCAATTGCAGATTCTTGTATCTGGATGTCTGTTTCTAGACTTTTCCCTCTATTCCATTGGTTTATGAATCTCTTGTAAAACTATAATATCCTAATTACTGTAGTTTGATATCATTATACCTAGTAGTGTAACTATTCCAGTTTCATTCTTCTTTTCAATATTGGTTTGGCTATTCTTACACACTGTTTTCATAAAATTATAAATTTAGCTTGTCAATTTTTACATATGAAAACATTCTTCAGAGATTTTCATTATGATTACATTAACTCTATAGATTAATTTATTTAAAAAAGACATATTTACAATACTGAATCTCACAGCCAATAAACACATGCCCCCCCCATTTGATTAGGTCTCTTTTAATTTCTCTTACAAATATTTTTAGTTTCACTTCTTATTAGTTTTATGTCTAGGTATTTGAATTATTTGTGCTATTGTGAATAATATTTTTTTAAGATCTTTAAATTTATACTTCTGTATAAGTACAAAAACAGAATTACCTTTTTGTATCTTGATCTCATTTCCAGCAATTTTGCCAAATTTATCTATTAGTTCTAAGACTTTGTAGATTCTTCCAAATGTTCCACATATGCAATCATGTCATCAGTGACTCATGAATTCAAAATGATTCAATTTTTGGTGTATCAAGACTTATCTCTTTAGCGAGGGGGTAGTGGGGGAAAGGGAGGGGTGGGGGGAAGGGGGGAGAAATGACCCAAACATTGTATGCACATATGAATAAAAGAAATTTTAAAAAAGACTTAGCTCTTCCTCTCTTCTCAACATTCTTTGATCTCTAAGAAAGAAAAATTATCACATAATTTGATTTCTTCCCCTAACCAGGAGAAAGGAATCTCATAGTAGCTACCCAGCAAAATTTTATCATTGTGGTAGAAAAATGAATTCCGTATGCCTTCTATCCGTTTCCTTACAAATAAAAGTTTCCAGAGCTGGTGGAGTGGCTCAAACAGTAGAGCATCAGCCTAGCAAGAGTGAAGCTTTGAGTCCAACTCCCAATACTGAAAAACAAATTCCTGTAATGAATGAAAGTTTTCAGTATGGTTCCTATTTCTGCTTCACCATTGCCATTGTGTGAGGAGGGAAAGGGGGAATTTGGTTGATTTGTTTATAGATGGCTGGAACTGCATGAAGCTGTACCTGAACTTGAACTAGTAGATTGTACCTCCAAAACATTCTAGGCCTTGAGCTGGATGCAGAGACTATATAGGCTTCCTCTAAGTTGCTTCCCTTGGGGGCGAATATGAACACTAGATAACTCTATATTCCTTGGTACTCTGACATCACTTGACTTTCTTCTTATCCCTACTCTTCTCAGTCATAGTTCTTTTCCAGACTGACTCCTTACAGCCACCCTTCCAAAAGTTCCTATGTTAGGGCTCTTCTTCTGTCCTCAGTACTTCTCTTGTTGGTATTATTTTATTTACCCCAAACTCCAAGTATCTCAATTTATGAGATTCTAGCATTAATTTTTCCAACATTTCCCAAATATGTTTGCTTGAGACCTCCCTCTTGGAAGGCCAACCAAAATTTTAAAAAGGCAAATGTTTCTTCTCATCTTCCATGTTTTTAACTTGTGACATACAATCCTTTCATTTTCGGGCTCAAAATTACGAGTCACACTTGGAATTTGTGCTCTCTCTCGCTCTTTTCTCATTCCTATACCAAATCAATAGCTACTCAAAACCTGGTTCGCCAACTAGGACCAGGGAAAAGCCTGCCCATCCCTGACTACCACTAGCATGTTTATCCATCTGTATTATCACTTTTTTGCTTCCCAATTCCCACCCTTATCCTAACCAAATTCCCCACACTTTCTTGTGTGATTCTATAAGGATTATGGGTCATCAGATCTCTTATGTCTTTGGGGTCACAAAAATCCTTAGTGTAAGGACATTTGAGACTACCATTATTTTCTTGGGCATTTTTTCCACACCTGAGACTTCCTTCCTCTATGTGCATTTCAGTGGGAATTCTTAACTAAAATTTCACTTTTTCTTCCTATTCTGCCTGTATTGTACACTCCATGAGTTTACCTCATTTCCTATAAATGGAACCTCCACAGGTTTCTGATTGTTTTTTGCTTAGGTAGGCTTGCCCACAACTGCTGTCCCTCCCACAGATAAACAAGAAAAAAAATCAACTTTCTTCACTGTTTACCTTCCCTCCCACTTCCAAAAGCTTTTCAAATTTCTTATAGGTTGGAGGGGCTATGGAGAGGATGAAGGAAAAATTAACTTCCAGCCTGAAACTTCATAAACAACTTCAATCTTTGTTTCTGGAACTACCATTTCTTTTAAACATTAAATGACTGATTCATTCAGACCTGGCCTAGGATAGATGGTATAAATTCAAAACCCCTCCTACTCAAAAACCAAAACATGAGGGAACTGATATTGCTTTATTATTTGTCTTTTCTGTGAATGGGAGTAATGAGAAAGTTTAGGGAACACAATGCATAATGAGAATAATTCTTAAAATTTTCTCTCACAAAAGTTTTAAACCAACAATATCTGTCTCTCTCTTGCTCCCTCCCCTTCCCTTCTGACCCCCTCATCACTAGCTCCCCTTTGCTCTCTTTCTAATTCTCATTCTTCAAAACCAATGCTCCCATACCCCTGGACTCTCACTTCCCCCTTTTCTACTGTTCCACTCACCCTTGAATGCCCTCCAAAGATTGTCACAGTTATCATGTGACCAACCTCCTAAGAAATTACACTCACCTCCTAATTCGGCTTCCTGGTGAATACCTTTCCCTCTGCACTCCACTTTGAAACACTCACCCTGCCCTCTGCTCTTGGCCTGGAACAGTTTGAAAGCAGGAACGGACTGACAGCTGTACGGCTACCACATCACCAAAGTGATATTTTACCTAACAAAAGGAGACCCACACAGGTTTTTAAATAAAATTTTTTAAATTTTAAACATAACTTTTTAAATAGGTAACATTAGGCAAAAAAGGTAACACAGATTTGGGAATTCAGTAATATAAAGGTAAGACAAACTGCATTCTGTATATTTACAGCAAAGAGAAGTTATGTGCACCATCTGCTTTTTTCCATTGTTTGTTTCAATTTTATTCCCCATAAAATGGATTATTTATGATATATTAACTGTGACCTACACACAGGGCTGGTTGGAGGCACAGTTAATTTAACATTTCTGAAAGCTTTAAATTCAAGCTAATGATATTTTATGGTTCCCAAATCCATTTATTTTATTCTATTTAGATTGGTCTGGTTTGTCTGTTTCCCTGGAAAACAAAAGACATGAAGGACACCCATGACACACAAAAGACACTACAGATGCCATCAGATCAGAACACTTAGTCTTCAGATTTTATAGCTACTCTTCAGTACAAATTTAGAAGCATATTCAGGAAAGATAACTTTCTCAGTTTAGGAACCAATTCTTAAGTTATAGCTCAGAGTCGGCACTAATGTCAAACTATTTTCTCTTCAGAAGTTGTTTTTAAATCACAGTGAAAATGGAACTTCTTCTCCCCACTAGGTTCACTTAAACGTAATTTAATTTTAAATACATTCATCATTTCAGTGCCTTTATGGTAAAACAAAATAACTTCCCAGAAAGGGAGAATGAGATGCTTTCTTATTCTAAGTAATGTTATGAAATCTATATGTTACCTGATAGCATTTAAGTAAATATTACATATATTTAGCAGGACAGGGTAATATGTGGCTGGAATATTACAGGATATTTAAAATGCCTTAATTTAAAATCAGGATATAAAGGAGAATTCATAATAGAAATACTAAATAAGTAGATGAAAAACTGGTTTTTTTTTTTGTTTTTTTTACTTTATTTTTTTTTTTTTTCTTTTATTATTCATATGTGCATACAAGGCTTGGTCATTTCTCCCCCTGCCCCACCCCTCCCTTACCACCCACTCCGCCCCCTCCCTCTCCCCCCCCCCCTCAATACCCAGCAGAAACTATTTTGCCCTTATCTCTAATTTTGTTGTAGAGAGAGTATAAGCAATAATAGGAAGGAACAAGGTTTTTGCTGGTTGAGATAAGGATAGCTATACAGGGATTGACTCACATTGATTTCCTGTGCGTGTGTGTTACCTTCTAGGTTAATTCTTTTTGATCTAACCTTTTCTCTAGTTCCTGGTCCCCTTTTCCTATTGGCCTCAGTTGCTTTAAGGTATCTGCTTTAGTTTCTCTGCATTAAGGGCAACAAATGCTAGCTATTTTTTAGGTGTCTTACCTATCCTCACCCCTCCCTTGTGTGCTCTCGCTTTTATCATGTGCTCAAAGTCCAATCCCTTGTTGTGTTTGCCCTTGATCTAATGTCCACATATGAGGGAGAACATACGATTTTTGGTCTTTTGGGCCAGGCTAACCTCACTCAGAATGATGTTCTCCAATTCCATCCATTTACCAGCGAATGATAACATTTCGTTCTTCTTCATGGCTGCATAAAATTCCATTGTGTATAGATACCACATTTTCTTAATCCATTCGTCAGTGTGGGGCATCTTGGCTGTTTCCATAACTTGGCTATTGTGAATAGTGCCGCAATAAACATGGGTGTGCAGGTGCCTCTGGAGTAACAGTCTTTTGGGTATATCCCCAAGAGTGGTATTGCTGGATCAAATGGTAGATCAATGTCAGCTTTTTAAGTAGCCTCCAAATTTTTTTCCAGAGTGGTTGTACTAGTTACATTCCCACCAACAGTGTAAGAGGGTTCCTTTTTCCCCGCATCCTCGCCAACACCTGTTGTTGGTGGTGTTGCTAATGATGGCTATTCTAACAGGGGTGGTGGAATCTTAGTGTGGTTTTAATTTGCATTTCCTTTATTGCTAGAGATGGTGAGCATTTTTTCATGTGTTTTTTGGCCATTTGAATTTCTTCTTTTGAGAAAGTTCTGTTTAGTTCACTTGCCCATTTCTTTATTGGTTCATTAGTTTTGGGAGAATTTAGTTTTTTAAGTTCCCTATATTCTGGTTATCAGTCCTTTGTCTGATGTATATTGGCAAATTTTCTCCCACTCTGTGGGTGTTCTCTTCAGTTTAGAGACCATTTCTTTTGATGAACAGAAGCTTTTTAGCTTTATGAGGTCCCATTTATCTATGCTATCTCTTAGTTGCTGTGCTGCTGGGGTTTCATTGAGAAAGTTCTTACCTATACCTACTAACTCCAGAGTATTTCCTACTCTTTCCTGTATCAACTTTAGAGTTTGGGTCTGATATTAAGATCCTTGATCCATTTTGAGTTAATATTGGTATAGGGTGATATACATGGATCTAGTTTCAGTTTTTTGCAGACTGCTAACCAGTTTTCCCAGCAGTTTTTGTTGAAGAGGCTGCTATTTCTCCATCGTATATTTTTAGCTCCTTTGTCAAAGAAAGTTGGTTATAGTTGTGTGGCTTCATATCTGGGTCCTCTATTCTGTTCCACTGGTCTTCATGTCTGTTTTTGTGCCAGTACCATGCTGTTTTTATTGTTATTGCTTTGTAAATAGTTTGAAGTCAGGTATTGTGATACCTCCAGCATTGTTCTTTTGACTGAGTATTGCCTTGGCTATTCGTGGCCTCTTGTGTTTCCATATAAATTTAACAGTAGATTTTTCAATCTCTTTAATGAATGTCATTGGAATTTTGATGGGAATTGCATTAAACATGTAGATTACTTTGGGAGTATGACATTTTTACTATGTTGATTCTACCAATCCATGAGCATGGGAGATCTCTCCACTTTCTATAGTCTTCCTCAATCTCTTTCTTCAGAAGTGTATAGTTTTCCTTGTAGAGGTCTTTCACATCTTTTGTTAGGTTTACACCTAGGTATTTGATTTTTTTGAGGCTATTGTAAATGGAATTGTTTTCATACATTCTTTTTCAGTTTGCTCATTGTTAGTGTATAGAAATGCTAATGATTTTCTATGTTGATTTTATATCCTGCTACCTTGCTATAGCTATTGATGATGTCTAGAAGCTTCTGAGTAGAGTTTTTTGGGTCTTTAAGGTATAGGATCATGTCGTCTGCAAATAGGGATATTTTGACAGTTTCTTTACCTATTTGTATTCCTTTTATTCCTTCTTCTTGCCTAATTGCTCTGGCTAGGAATTCCAGTACTATGTTGAATAGGAGTGGAGATAGTGGGCATCCTTGTCTGGTTCCTGATTTTAGAGGAATGGTTTCATTTTTCTCCATTAAGTATAATGCTGGCTGTAGGTTTGTCATATATAGCTTTTATAATGTTGAGGTACTTTCCTTCTATTCCTAGTTTTCTTAGAGCTTTTATCATGAAATGTGTTGGATCTTATCAAAGGCTTTTTCTGCATCTATTGAGATGATCAAGTGGTTTTTGTCTTTGCTTCTGTTAATGTGGTTTATTACGTTTATTGATTTTCGTATGTTGAACCACCCCTGCATCCCTGGGATGAAGCCTACTTGGTCGTGGTGAATAATCTTTTTGATGTGTTGTTGAATTCGGTTTGCCATTATTTTGTTGAGGATTTTTGCATCAATGTTCATTAAGGAGATTGGCCTATAGTTCTCCTTTTTGGAGGTGTCTTTGCCTGGTTTTGGGATAAGTGTAATACTGGCTTCATAAAATGTGTTGGCAGTTTTCCTTCCCTTTCTATTTCATGGAACAGTTTAAGGAGGGTTGGTATCAGTTCTTCTTTAAAGGTCTGATAGAATTCAGCAGAGAATCCATCAGGTCCTGGACTTTTCTTTTTGGGGAGACTCTTGATTGCTGCTTCAATTTCATTTTGTGTTATAGTCTATTCAGGTGATTAATTTCCTCTTGGTTCAGTTTTGGATGATCATATGTATCTAGAAATCTGTCCATTTCTTTAAGATTTTCAAATTTATTTGAATATAGGTTCTCAAAGTAGTCTCTGATGATTTCCTGGACTTCCATGGTGTTTGTTGTTATCTCCCCTTTTGCATTCCTGATTCTACTAATTTGGGTTTTTTCTCTCCTCATTTTAGTCAGGTTTGCCAGGGGTCTATCGATCTTGTTTATTTTTTCAAAGAACCAACTTTTTGTTTCATTAATTCTTTGTATGGTTTTTTTGGTTTCTATTTTTGATTTCAGCTCTTATTTTTATTATTTCTCTCCTTCTATTTGTTTTGGATTTGCTTGTTCTTGTTTTTCTAGGAGTTTGAGATGTATCATTAGGTCATTGATTTGGGATCTTTCAGTCTTTTTAATATATGCACTCATGGCTATAAACTTTCCTCTCAGGACTGCCTTGCTGTGTCCCATAGGTTCCGGTAGGTTGTGTTTTCATTTTCATTGACTTCCAGGAACTTTTAATTTCCTCTTTTATTTCATCGATGATCCATTGTTCATTAAGTAATGAGTTATTTAGTTTCCAGCTGTTTGCATGTTTTTTGTCTTTACTTTTGTTGTTGAGTTCTAGTTTTACTGCATTGTGATCAGATAGTATGCATGGTATAATTTCTATTTTCTTATATTTGCTGAGGCTTGCTTTGTGCCCTAGGATATGATCTATTTTGGAGAAGGTTCCATGGGCTGCTGAGAAGAATGTATATTGTGTAGAAGTTGGATGAAATGTTCTGTAGACATCAAGTAGGTCCATTTGATCTATTGATATTTTAGATCTTGGATTTCTTTATTGATTTTTTTTTGGATGACCTATCTATTGATGATAATGGGTGTTAAAGTCTCCCACAACCACTGTGTTGGAGTTAATATATGCTTTTAGGTCTTTCAGGGTATGTTTGATGAAATTGGGTGGCATTGACATTGGGTGCATACAGTTGATGATTATTATTTCCTTTGGTCTATTTCCCCTTTTATTAGTATGGAATGTCCTTCTTTATCTCGTTTGATCAATGTAGGTTTGAAGTCTACTTTGTCAGAGATAAGTATTGCTACTCC